GCATGAGATATTTTAGAAGCAGTCATTGACCCAACCCCAAGTGAATTTCCAAGGTCAAGTGGGGCTCTGAAGATGGATCTCCTAATCCAACACTCTATCTATTACACCCTATGGGCTCTCATCTTTACTGAAACATGAGATATGCACTTATATGTACTGGAAGCATTGTAGCATTCAGCCCTGCCCTCACCTGTCCGTCACCGCTGAGCAGTCGAAAAGGAGCCAATGAGGGAACGGAAGGGGGTGCTGGGATATAAAGGGGAGGTGTATGGAGTATGAGGGAGAGATCTGTGAGTCTGTGAGAGAGTGAGCCAGAAAGTCAGTGAGAGTAGGGTTCTGTGTGTCAGTGAGTTCAAGGAGTGAGAGATATTGATTAGCAACTTGTGATTTACCTATTTTATTTTAATGATCTAATAAACAAGTTTAAGTTTCAAAGTTACACTGGTCTCACTGAGTAATTGGTATTGAAACTGAAATACTGGTGGCAGCAACTGAGTAGAAGAGTGAGCACCTCCTGGATGCCTGAGATAATAGAGGCTTCGTCGCGCTCGCTACATAAACTGGTGGCACCGGTGGGATACGTACTTGATCCAGTAACAGAGCAGAAGAATATTTTAGTCAGGGAATCTGAGTGGAAGAGTGGGTCACTTCCTAGAGCCTCCTCAAGGGGAGAAGGCTTAGTAGGAGGGCTCTGAAACTCAGATTGGGAGGCTAAGATAGGGACAGGCTCTGTGGAAACCATTTCTGGAATGAGTTTACCCCAAGCAGAATCTGTGGCTAGCTTGTCCTGAGCTCAAAGGATAGAGCTCTGAGGGGACAAAGTGAAGGCCAAGGGCAGATAAGCTGAGAGGGCTCAAGTCAGCTAAAACTGGGAAAGGTTGAAGCTGTTATTTAGGGTTATTTGGTGCCTGAGGCAGGGAGAGAAACTCTGTCTTTGGTGAAAGGCCTGGCTGGAAGACAGAGGCCTAGGCACAGTAGCTTACCAGTGGATGAGTGCTGGGGAAGCAACTATATAACACAGACTCTCATTGAAGAAAAAAAAGTGTACTTTTAAATTTGGGGCTTGAAAGTTGAATAAGAAGCCTAACATGCCTTCCACGTGCAGAAAGAAAGCTGAAAAAGTGCCTACTGAGATGGCAGTTTGTTCAGATAAAGAAAATGGGGAATCTGAGGAATAAATTACCTCAGAAAAAGAAATAGAGACCTCCAGGGGGGAGGACTCTATGGAATTCAGAAAGTGGAAATTGGAGCAAGCTCAAGCACACGAATTCAGGATGAAACAAACGGAGATAGAAATTAGACAGAGAGAAATGGAGCTAGAAATGAAGGCCAGAACTGAGAAGAAGAGTGAGCACCTCCTGGAGGCCTGAGATAATAGAGGCTTCAGTGCGCTTGCTACATAAACTGGTGGCAGCGGTGGGATACGAACCCACGCCCCCGGAGAGACTGTGTAACTTTGAAACTTAAACTTGTTTATTAGATCATTAAAATAAAATAGGTAAATCACAAGTTGCTAATCAATATCTCTCACAACTCACTGACACACAGAACCCTATTCTCACTGATTTTCTGGCTCACTCTCTCACAGACTCACAGATCTCTCCCTCATACTCCATACAGCCCCCTTTTTATCTCAGCCCCTCCCCCTTTAGCACCCCCTTCCGTTCCCTCATTGGCTCCTTTTTGACTGCTCAGCGGTGACAGACAGGTGAGGGCAGGGCTGAATGCTACAAGCATATTTTATTTTGACTATCATTCTTTATTTAATAATGGGACTACTAGGCTTGTACCTAACAAATATCCTTAAACTAGTATTAGGCCCACTATCCTAATGGTTGCACATTTTCAAAGTTAGCACAAAGGAGGTATCCAATTCCGTTTTTATTGTGTACGGTGTTGAGGAGCTGCTCATACAATGGTTTCATTCAGTATTATCATGTTAGCAGAGATTCTTGATTTGTTACAGTTGTATTGCAGCAATATTAACACCAATATGTTGATGATACCCAACTCTATCTTTGCATCTACCTCCAAGGTAGATGCAGAGAGAGGTAGAACCAATACCTGATGTCAGTAATTGACTGTGAACTATAATGGAGAGAAGTGCTCCTGGTCCCTTGAAATGGAAATAAAAGGTGGAACAACATGCCACCTTAAAACTAGGTAAAGGTAAAGGTTCCCCTTGACAATTTTTTTTTGTCCAGCTGTGTTCGACTCTAGGGGGCAGTGCTCATCCTCGTTTCCAAGCCAGCGTTTGTCCAAAGACAATCCTCCGTGGTCACATGGCCAGTGTGACTTAGATACGGAACGCTGTTGCCTTCCCACCAAGGTGGTCCCTATTTATCTACTCACATTTGCATGCTTTCAAACCGCTAGGTTGGCGGGAGCTGGGACAAGTGACGGGTGCTCCCTCTGTCGCGTGGATTTGATCTTACGACCGCTGGGCTTCTGACGCTGCAGCACAGGCTTCTGCGGTTTAGCCCGCAATGCCACCACGTCCCTCCCTTAAAACTAAGACAGGCAGTTTTGACATTCTCCTAGATTCATCTCCGAGCCTGGATGCTCAGGTTATGGCTGAGCCAGGAGGACCTTTGCACAGTTAAAGATAGTACACTAGCTGCATATGTCCTTGAGATATCTGATCTGGCTATGCTGGCCATGTCTCAGTAACATCTTACTTGGATTATTATACTAATGCACTCTATGAGAGGTTATCTTTTGAAGTGTCTGGAAGACTCAGTCAGTTGAAAACACTGCAACCAGACTGTTAACCAGGACCTGCTAGAGGGAGCATGGTCTATTCCCAAGCCAATTCAAAGTACTGGCTGTGATTGATAAATCCATATATGCCACTGGATTCAGGCTACATAAAGGACCACATCTGTCTATACAAGTTTCCCTTGGCTTTAAGATCTCAGTGACACTGCCCTCACAGGCATGTTTGGTAATTACTCAAGAGAAGGCCTTTTCAGTAGCTGCTTCCAGGCTGTGGAACAATCTCCCATGGAGGCTAAATTGCTCCCCTCTCTCTTATCCGTCTGGTCACAGACAAAAATCTTTCTCTTCAGTCAAGCTTTTGACTACTGATCAGGCTGCTTTTAATGGAGATGCTACATTCATTTTCTTTTCTTTAAAATTCATTTTAGATCTATGTATTTTTCTGGATTTTGTTTTCAAATTGTTCTAATATCTTTTAACATTGCTATATGTTTCTAAGAGTGCTTAATGTTTTAGTTAATATTTATCACACTCCATTTTGTAAGTTCCTGAACAGGGAGAAAGGAGAAATATAAATCATTTGGCACCATGAATCTTCTCTTTGTGACCTATTATTTCACCAAGTTTCAGGGTGCCATGTAACCCCCAACCCACCCTAGTTATTGCCAATTTCTTGTTCTTATTTAATAGAACAGGAGTTACAGGAATTAGGAAAGCCAATCATTGGCTTATATCCAGGCCAGGATCAGATCAGTGAAGACCTGGGCCGGGATCCAAAATGGTGAATCAGGATCTAAATCACATGGGGTAGCCAGACACAGTCCTCCTGAAAAGTCAGAGGTTATCAGCAAATTAACACAATCTGTTCGAAAGGTTTCTGGATAGCAACACATGGATCATGGGTCACAAACACATTTTCAACTCACAGAACACTTGCTACAACCTAAGTATCCATCAATGTTTGTTTTATTAATTAGCAAGATGAATGGAGCAACACTCTTCCCTGTACTAAGTTATGCAGTAATATCCATTTGTTTGCCCAATGTAGTTTTGTCCAACTGTAGTTCCATCACAGAAAACATTGTGAATCTATTGTTCTTTAGCACTAAATGTTATAATTGTTTATTTAGTTTATATATGTTCAGATTGTATTTGTGTGACACAAAATATGGTGTTTAAGATCTGCTTCACAAAGTTACATACCGTTTCCAGCATAGGCAGATATTCAAGTTTCAGTAAGAGAGAGAGAAATCAGTAAAATGTGAGCAGCAGTTATTAAAGTTACAGATTTGGGTAACAACAAAACACAACGAACCATTTAAAGAGAATAAAATTTCTATTTCCAAAACTTTATTCAAATTAAACAAATGTAACTTGAAACAGTGTGCCAGTCAGTATACCTAGATCAGCATGTGCTGACCTAGTATAAGGATACAAAGATAATTGCCTAAAGTGTCTTATGCCTTTTTCATGACACTCTGATCTTGACTTTGTCTGAGTTGTTAAGATATTTGTGGGTTTCTCAATCTGCATGAAAAACACCACTCTGAGGAATGGAAATATGCACCTACAACTATGTAAAATGGTTGGCTCACAGCTGCAAGGAGACATATAGCACCCAGGGACCTCAGTCTGAGCTCTCTCAAGCACCTTAGTCAGTTGGGTGCCCAGAAAAGGTCTTGGGAATAACTGGGGAGTTCAGATGTCAGTCACCTGATCTGCTGGTATGAGCTGAGCCTTCATGGATACTATGACTTCCTTTTGATTTCCCCTACCTTGCTTGAAATTGCAGTGCATCTTAAAAAAATAATCACAGAAACACTGGATTAAGCACAAAGGATTTTTGCAGAACTGCTTTAACCTGTGGATGACCAACAGTGACTTCCTCTGTCATTTGGTTGCCCCCAGATCACATAAAAACCCCTGAATATGTCCATTGTTCTTAGTATCAAGAAATTTCTACAGTAAAACAAAAAAAAATGACACAACAGAAAACACTTAACGCATCAAGTAAACCTATCTAGCAGGTTAACTGTCCTAAATAGAATATCCATATAGAGAGGCAAAACCTTTTCAAACAATGGAAAATAAAGGAACTCTCTAATTTTCCATTGCTGGTAACAGAATTGTAAAGTAGGCAAATTTGTAATTGATTCTAGGATGGATATTCTTAAATTATTCAAATAAAAATGATAATTTCACATTTTACTAAGCAATTGACATGACCACAAAAATATCTTAAACATTAAAACAAAGCATACAACAAAAGAAGTTAATCATACCTGATCGAAAACACTCAATAATTTGTTGAATGCCAGATTTTGATGTCTGAAGTGGTTGCCGCAATAAAGGAGGATCCCCAGGCTCCATAATATGTCCTAGAAAATATTTAGAATAGACAGTAGAAATTTACTTAGGATAGACCATTCAAGTAAATGTTCATATGGGCCTAAACTCAATATCATTCTTGTATTCAATCTCCAGTGTGAGGGAACTTTCTTCCCTTCCCCATCCTCCACTGCCTTCCATGTCACCAGAAAAATGAATTGCAAGGACTTCCCATCCCTCTGGAGCAGATTTTAAGGGTGCAAGAAAACTACAGCAAGGAGGGGAAATCTCCCTCCCTCCTGGTTTTGATCATGGGGAAACAGATTCTGATTACAGAAATAATAATTACACAGAGGCAGTATATACTTCTATGGAAGTGCCTTGAAAATGCTTCAGTATATTGCTGAACTGATGGTCTGGAAGTCACTAATGACAATTAAGCAGTTTTGATCTCCACCTCCAGTACAATTATTGTGCAAACAAACTCTCTAACCTCAAAAAGCACTGGGCACAGACAAATTCAATCCTTCAAAAACATTAACTGCTAGGATAACAATAGTAACATGCAATAGCTCTACTGCCAACAATTTAATTATTGCTACATCTAGCTATCTTTGGTAGGATCTACACTAACTAGGCAGATAAAACTAAATTGCCATTTGTATAATCTATCCCTTGTTTAGGTCACTGCCAACCCCAAATAAAATAACGGTACTTAAACATTAAAAGAAAATGTATTTCTTTCGATCACAAGCTATTACTTTGGAAAGATTTCTAAAACAGTGCTGCTATCTAGCTGAAGAAATCTGTCTCTAATTGTATATGTCTTAAATTAGTAATCCATGAATCAATAAACCTGCACATCCTTCCAAAGTGGCATTTTTAGATGATACATATATGCATTATATTGACCATATAATCAGAAAAGGTGCTCTCCTCTATGAAAGGGAATGTGATATACTTCTTAAGACATTACTTGTCATTTCTAGTCTGTACAAGTACTTATTCTCGCCTCCACAAATTCCTTTAAATCAACAAAACCAAACATTCAATATCAATTACCTTCTTACAACATGTCATCATCAAATGGGGATACTGTTCGTGTAAAAACAGTTTCCATCAGGGTAATCTGAGAGCAATCCCCTTCCTACTGCCTACAACCCTCTTCTGGAGGGACAGCAACCCTCCCAAGTAGACTTCTGACATCAGAGGAGGATTCATGGGGAATAGTTAGGAATCCAAATATTATTATGAGTCTCATATGAGATCTGTGCCATAATTTACATTCTTCCTTTTTTGGGATGAACCCCCAAGGTGTCTGACAATCAGTGAAAACAAATGTATAAGATCAAATGATAAAATTTAGAAGATCATGCTAACTTATGAAGGCTCTTTATATAAGGAAAAATGTCTACTCCTCAGACCTCAGAAACAATGAGCTAATGGTGGTGTCATTCTTTGAAGTGCTGTGTTTGATGGGAGTGCCATTTAAAAAAAAACTAGATCTGAATTTCTGGATATTTCCAGTTTTGGAAAAAAAGCAAAACAATTCTGTGGCTCAGTCTAAAAGGTTGGAACTCCAGTCTCTAGTGAGGTAAGGTGTATGGTGGGAGTGTGGCAAGAGGCAAGGAAGGGAGGAAGAACCATGGTCCTGAAAGGCCACAGACAAGCCCCTAACCTCTTCTCCTTTTCCTCCCATTGCTTTGCAAAAAACGGAATTTCATCCCTCTTAAGAGAAATAAAACCTGAGGACAAGGGAAGAGCAAAATCCTACTGACTTCCTCCAATTAGAGCTTTCTGATGGCTCTGAATAGAATGGAAACTTCATTCTTTAGGCTCTTGCCCCACAAAAATGTTTTGTATCGAAGACTGCAATTATACAGCCACCTGTCTGGGACTGAACCCCATTTAATTTAACATGGTTTCTGACTAAACAGGCATATTTAGTTATGAACTGTAAACTGATCACACATTACAGAACTACACTGCACAAAATGTAAAATATAACATAATTGTACACCACATATAACAACGTTCTGCAAATCATGCACTCTAATTATATTCCTCTTTAATTGTATTTATTTATTTTATTAGACTTCTACCCAGCCCATCTAGACCTAAAGTCTACCTAGGTGGCTTACAAATTTAAAATCAGGAAAACGTATACTATAAATGCAAGATGGCAAAAATGTCAGAATTAAGATATGGCAGGAGGGATAGCCTGCCCAAATAGACAGGTCTTAACTTTGCTCCTAAATACAACCAGGGAGGGTGCCAGGCAAATCTCCATGGGCAAGTAGTTCCAAAGGCGAGGGGCCACAGCCAAGAAGGCCTGGTTCCTTGTTCTTTCCTTCTGGACCTCCCTCAGCATTAGGCCCCTCAGCCGCCCAGCCTGGCTGAAACGAGTGACTCTTGCAGAACTGGGTGGGAGGGGGCGCTTTGCCAGATATCGAGCCCTAAACCATTTACGGTTTTATATGTCCTCGTTAAAACTTTGAAATCAACGCTGAAGCGGATGGACAGCCAATGTAAGGCGGCCAGAGTGGGGGAAATACGGTGGTACCTCTTCACCCCTGTAAGAAGTCTGGCCGCCATATTCTGCACCATCTGGAGGTTCTGTGTCAGTCTCAAAGGCAACCCCACATAGACCGCATTACAGTAGTCTAATCTTGAGACTACGAGTGCATGGACCAAAGTGGTGAATGCCCCCACATCAAGATAGGGACGCAGCTGGGCAATCTGCCAAAGTGTGCGGAATGGACCACTGACACCATCTGGGTTTCCATGGTGAACGTCGGGTGCAGATGTACACCCAAACTGCAAACCTAACTCTTGGTGGAAAGAGTCACACACCCCCAAAAGAGAGGGAGTTTCCTGAACCACTGATGTCTGGGCCACCCACCCAAAGGACCTCCATCTTGCCCGGGTTCAGCCTCAGTCCATTCTCCTGCATCCATTGCTGAATGGCTCCCAGGCAGCACTCAAGGGATGAAACAAAATCCACTGTTGTTGGAAAAAATGAGATATAGAGCTGAGTATCATCAGCATACTGATGACACGAAGCCCCACATCCCCTGATGATCCCTCCCAGCGGCCTCATATAGATGTTCAACACCACTGGAGAGATAATGGAAGCCTGTGGAACCCCACAACTAAGGCTCCACGGGGACGAGGAATATGTTGGAACAGCACATCCTGTCAACCCCATCGTTTTTTCTAAATACATCAATCTTCTGCTTGATAGGAACTCCCCAATGCTCAGTGTTGCTTTTATCCTTAAATATGTATATCAAATGCTCTTCCTTTACCCTGCTTTATTTTCAGTAAAAGTTAAAGATGTTTAGAATTTATTTATTTGATTGATTGATTGATTGATTGATTGATTGATTGATATCCCACCCATTTAGACCAAAGTCTACTCTGGGTGGCAAAAAACAATATTAAAATAAAATAAAACAACAATATTAATAAACTAGAGGAAAGCGAAATAAGTTAGGTATCGACAAGAGGGAAGGCCTGTCTGAAGATCCAGGTCTTAAGTTGGCTCTTAAGTTGGCAAATACACATATACACATACACAAATAATAATTTTCTCTTATACTGATTGTTTCAGGAGTAAACAAATTAGTGTGCTGTTGCCTTGTTTCATGTACTGACAGACACCTGCCTTTGTTGGCTCAGCCATGTGTATTTATTATAATTAACTAATTAAATACTGTTGTCTACCTGTGTAATACAATTTTGTGCATGATTCTCACACAGTTGGAATACAATTTCCAGAAACTGCAAACACAAACTGTTTATTTTCACTGGTCTTTGTTACCCACCCACTCAATTCAGTGCCCAAGAAGGCTACACATACCCCAGAAAACTAGAAAACTTATCTTCCCGAAGCAATTTTATATTATCATCCTATGATATTTAAACTGTTGAGTACCTCTATAGGGAGAAAGTTGGGTAGAAATAAAATGAAATAAAATATTTTACCTAGTCATTTTAGAATTCTGACAACACAATATGAAGATGTCTAATTCCACTACTATATGATAGTTTCCAATCTCCTCTTCTAAAATCTTATTCAGATGAAAAAATGTAGAAGAGAAATTAAATCATAAATACAGAACTATTACCTGGTTCACAGCATCCATGGTGATGGTGGTCAGTCTGACAACACTTGTCCCTTAAAGGCATTTTCTACATCAACGACCTACATCCAGTAGCTTGCTTCTCCTAAAATAAGCAAAATTCTCCATCATTAATCAAGGAATATAAGGTTTTCTAACTCTACATAACACACTTATCAAATCACTGGTTGAGAATCAGCCATGGACATTGAAAATATATAGTGGAAAATTATAGTGGCACCTCGACTTACAAACTTAATTGGTTCTGGAACTCCGGTCATAACTCGAAATGTTCGTAAGTCAAAGCACCATTTCCCATAGGAATGCACTGAAATGCAATTAATCCGTTCTGACCAACGAAAAAAAATCACACACACATATACACCAAAAAATACACTGCAAGACCCATCAGAAATGTGATTAATCCGTTCCAGCCAAAAAGGGGAAAACAGAAAAGCAAACAAACCCTGCAAGACCCATCGGAAATGCAAAAAAAGAAAAGCGAAAAGCAAACAGAGAGTGCAAGACCCATCGGAAATGCAAACAAAAAAAACCCAAAAAAGCAAACAGAGAGTGCACGACCCACTGGAAATGGACTGCAAGACCCATCAGAAATGTGATTAATCCGTTCCAGCCAAAAAGGGGAAAACAGAAAAGCAAACAAACCCTGCAAGACCCATCGGAAATGCAAAAAAAGAAAAGCGAAAAGCAAACAGAGAGTGCAAGACCCATCGGAAATGCAAACAAAAAAAACCCAAAAAAGCAAACAGAGAGTGCAAGACCCACTGGAAATGGGAAACAAATAAACAACAACAAAAAACCCTGCAAGACTCATTGGAAATGGGGAAAAAACCCAAAAAACAAACAAACCCTGCAAGTCCCATCACAGCATAGAAACATAATCCCACCACCCAGCCCAAAACCACGCTGCAACACCCACTCAGAAGTTTTTAAAAAGTAGAAAGCAGCACCTTACCATGCAGTCCAAAGCCTCCTTCGATCGCACACTCTCTAACTGCTGGGGCGAAAGAGCTACAAAGAAGCAGCCTCTTCGCCACAATCGTTAGCAATATGAATTCCCTGCCTTTTCCCCCTACCTTTTTCTGTTGGTAAATCGAAGCTCTGGTTGCAAGCAGAAGCAAAATTCTGCAGCCAGAACTGGTTGTAACTCGAAATGGTCGTATGTCGGGACATTCGTGAGTCAAGGCACCACTGTATGTGTGTTTAAGAATTAATTCCTCTCTGTTCAGTAATTTTCAAATTTGATTTTTAAAACAATGTTGCAAATAGAGGCTAACAAACCACCCATGGTTACATCAGACTGGCTCACAAATATGGCAAGCAATTTCCTCCAAATCTGTGGAACTGCTCATCTCATTTGATGTTTGAGGATAATGAAAGTATACTGTCATATCTGTAAGACAATACATGGTAGTACTAAATCAGATCTTATATAGTCTACTCTTAAAAGAGCTCTACAACATATAAGCCTTCAGTCCCTTTCCTCCTACTTAACCTCCCCCCAAATCTTCTCTAGTCCTACTTCTAAATCTCATTTACCTTAGTAGGCTCAGCAGGTGACCATACTCCAATGGTTGTAAATAGTGACAGGGCAAGAAAAGGGGGGGGGGAATGACACTCCCACCATAAAGAGTGGGTGGCTAGTAAAGTGACAGAGAAAGAGAGTCCAAAGTTTACACAACCTGTGCTTGTTATACCGTGTTTCCCCGAAAATAAGACAGGGTCATTTTTTTTTAAATTTCCAAAACAAATACAAAATACTTACTAATATAATAAGACAGGGTCTTATATTCATTTTTGCTCCAAAAAACACATTAGGGCTTATTTTCAGGGGATGTTTTATTTTTTTCATGTACAACAATCTACATTTAATCAAATACAGTCATGTCATGTTCTGCTTGCTGCACAATGGTGGAGGGCAGGGTTTCAATTAATTGGGGGTTATTTTGGCGGTAGGGCTTATATTACGAGCATCCTGAAAAAATCATACTATGGCTTATTTTCAGGTTAGGTCTTATTTTAGGGGAAACAGGGTAGTAAACAGTAATACAGTATTTTATTTTTGATTAAGCATAACACTCAATCCAGGTCTGATGTTCTTTGATATTTATAGGATTTCTTTAAATCATCTATTCCCCTAATCTGGACATAATGGAAAACTGAGGCAAAGCATTAAACCACAACTGTTGCTTATTTGTACAATTCTTATTGACAAATGAAGCTTGATGGCTATGCTATTAATGGCACAGAATGTGATTTATGACAGGCTTTCTGATTACACATGACAACACAAAACTCCATACAGAACCTTGACAACTGACAACCTATTTGCTTTTTTTGACAGTTAAAAAGTAACTGAGACGACACTAGGACCTGTTCTCAACCAGAGGAAGCAACAAAAGTTAACACTGCTGGACCAAACCTCTCTCAACTAAGCCTAGCCAGCTGATTCCCTAGCTAAGCCCTATCTCACCATTAAACTGCCAGCCACTCCTTTCTACGTCTCTCACTTGGCTGCTCCATTCCCAGTTGTAAATGGTTGAGACATTCAAGAGGACAGACAAGGATCTGTCATTCACAAGGAGTCTCCTTATTGCTAGAAGGTCACAACCCTGAATGTAGTTTACCTAGTAATATAACAGGTACTGTTTCCCAGGGGCTATTGGGATATCTCTCCTTTCTTCTCCCCAAATCTGCTTGCGGCAAGTGATCTTGCAAGGCACGTTAAGTGAAATTAAAAAGGAAGATGAATAGGTAACACTGGGAAAGGAAAATTAGGTGAGAATACAGACAAAAATAATTGTGTTAAATTTTAAAACAAGAGGAAGAAAAATTCAAGAACACTCCTTATTTCAGGACAATATAAACAGCAGCCCCCCAAACTGCTATTTGACCTCCTTCTAAGATCCAGAAATAACAGCTCCAGCTATCACATGCTTCATATGCACTGACAAAATCTGGGTCTGTTTTAAATCTGACTCCAGGAACTGCAGGGGATAGATAATGATCACAACTTTCTCCTCCAAGGACTTCTGAAGAAAATGCACAAAGGTGTGTATGTGTGGTCTCAATGCACATCAGCACTTCTCCAATTAAAGCAGGAAATGGCTGGGGGAATAGAGTTGGTGAAATACTTCAGAAATGCCCTATATACTGTATAGCTACACAACTCCATACATCTTTGTAATTTTATGGACTCATTCGTCCAATACTTTTATGAACATGATCCCAAACATCACCTAACATCAACTTCCAAACTATATGAATCATTTATAGCAACATTGGCTTCTATAACACTGCACGTCTGTAAAATGTTTCCCAATATGTTGAATATACACTGTGAGATAAAACATATAATGCTGGCATGTTCCTTCATGGTAAGCCAGAAGAGTTTCTTTAAAAGTAAATTACACAAGTCTTACCTTAGCACTACTATATAATGGCAGAAATCCAGTAATAAGTTGTAGTTAGAGTAAGTCCACTGAATCAATGGGGAGTTGTGAGACAACTCTTCTGTAATTTCCATAGAGTCAATGGGTCTACTCTAATTGTAACTTAATACTGGATTTCTCCTACTGATATCAGTCAGGACAATATACTTTCACCACTTCCCAGCTTTTCAGATTTGTATAGAAAGTATACAGCAATCTCCAAAGTTGATTAAAAAATGGCAGTTCATAGAATTCCATTTGGAGGGGAGGGACAGAAAATATAATTTTTAAAAACCATCTAAACTACAGAAAATGCTTTTTAAAAAAATAACTAAAAAGATGGAGTTCCAATTTAATATATCTTAAAGCCTAAATCTAAACCATGGTCACGTCTCAAACATATTGATTTTAAAGTCTGCTTCCTATGTAAATGAGAAAATATCTTACTTCTGATGCTAAACAAAACTGTAACTCAGCCAATCACTTCTTTTATATATTTTTGTAAGGTTCCAATTGAATTTAGGATTCATTTAATTTTCACCAGAATGATTTATCTAATTCATACAGGTGGTCTTGTAGTCACATCATACCTTATAGCTACCTCACTAGGGCAAGGTGTTTCTTGTTTGTTTGTTTGTTTGTTGGCTCAAATTGGTGCAACTTTCAGAAGTGAATTACCATACATTAAGCAATCTCCAGAAACATCATCCACTGCATACTAAATCTCATGAGTCAATGTGCAATAAATAATACCTATGGAGATTTCCTGACTTACCACAATTTGTTTATAAAAGTTACACTATTTGTGTAACTGCTCTACAGATTTCAGCCATTTACTTTATTTCTTTTCTAGTTTTCTTCCAAACAAGGCCACAAGGAAGACTTACAAATGACTAAATGTCACAAACAACCAAAAGCACAATGAATTACAAGTGTTAAAATATAGGTAACTACATAAATATTTAAAAACTGCTAATTAGAAAAGTTAGAAACCAGCTGAAAACCCAGTCAAGTATATTCTGAACTATCCTGCAGAATTCAAACCAGTAACAGCATGCAGTTTCTATTCCACATAGGAAACACTATGGTGAGCATTAATGATCAATTCTTGCTCATGGAATGTTTAGGGGGACTTACAGATTGATCTTATTTAAATTTTATGAAAAATAAGACCTTATTTTTCTAATACGGCTTACTTCATAAGACCTGCACACTTAGTACTGCACCTTTATACTTCAAATAAATAAATGATCATGCTTAGCATCACAGTATGCAGTGAGAAAATACAATTGCCTCTCTTGTTTCTAAAAAAAATACAGAATAAATCTAAAATATATAATGATTATTAGCTGCAAGCTGATATAATTTCAGTGATTCAGCTATTGTGTTAAACAATATGTATGTATTTCAGAGAAAGTGGTTCAAAATAGAAGTTTGGTCACTCATTTAACTATACTTTTCAAAATGATTTAAACAGCATTATTTTAACATTCCCCCCAAACCAACATTATGCATGCATCAGTCAGCCAACATGCACTCTACCATGTCTTACATATCCAACCGCATTACATCACAGAATACTACTTCACCACCCTTCATTACTTTTTCCTGTTTTCTCAACCCAGCATCTAGCATTATATACATGATATGACCATAATCAACAGACAATTCAGGTCCCAGCATGCATGATACTTTGTAGTGTCCACAGAAACATTACCAGCAAAACCTCCACCTACATCCTGTACAGTTTGTTTGATGCTCCTCTTTCAGTGGTTCTCAGCCTTGGATCCCCAGATGTTCTTTGACTAAAACTCTCAAAAGCCTTCATCACTAGCTGTGGTGGCCAGGATTTCTAGGAGTTGTAGTACAAGAACGTCTGGGGACTCAAGATTTCAAATCACTGCATAAAAGGCACCACTTAGGCAACTGAAGGCACAGAACACTGGGACTCCAAAATCCATGCTATTATCAAGACTCTGTCCCAACAGAATGACAACATGAGCAGAAAATGTATTTTATAACTGATCCATCAAACCCAAACAATATGCAAAGTCAAAGTAAACCCAAATTAACATAGTGGGAAATCCAGGATCCAAATCTTCTCACCTTACCCAGGAAGTACAGTACTAACCTGATCATCCAGCTGTCAACTCTGCTTACACACACACACACACATGCATAGAAACATGGCCTTAGAGCAATAGAATTCCAGGGGGACTTCAATTATTATCACATTGACTTGGTCAATGCATGCTCAGGTTGAGAAAGAGGGCAGGCAGGCAGTAGGCAACAGGTATATCAGAGCCTTCTGGCAGATTTCTGGGTGGTTTCGTATTAATCAATAAGGTTTCAGAGTCTAACCCCTATCATATCAGCAACAGTAAAAATATTTTACCTGATTAGAGTTTTGGCTAGATATATGCCACCAAATATATTATGAGTTATGGAGATCATAGTGTGTCTCTGAAGTATGTAAGATACTCAAGAGACTGGTCTTACCACTGCCACTCCCTGGTGAGTGTCTATGGATAAGTGGGCAACCCCTGGAGTTTTGATGTAGATGAAGTACAACTCGCATCATACCTCAAGACTGATATGCAAAGACTGACGGAACTTGCAACGTGACAGGATACAGAGAACCAGATGTGCGCCCACTCCTGCACCCGCCCCCACTCCACCGTTTTCGTTTTCGCCTCCCACCAGTCTTCCTTTACACAGGTCGGAAATTCCAATACAGGACACAGAAACCACGTTCCGAGCAAGAGCGAAACAACCCCTCGGCCACCCCACTCGGTACCCGTAAAGAGGTGGTGGCAAAGCAAGACTCTTCGCCCTGCGCACCCTTGCCGGGCCACCTGTCACCCCACCTCACACCCACCC